ACTGTTATGCTTGTTTTCTTCTCTTCACCATCAGGTACAAGCTGACAATCAAACATGCTTGTTAAAGCTTGTCATAAATCCTAACAAGGAAATTCTTGAATTACTATCAGACAAGGAGACCCACTGTTGAAAATCACGATCCTTACAGCTATTAATGCAAATAGGATGATAAGTCTTCAGAGCCACTTTGGAGCTGGCTTTGTACTTTTATAGAGCCCTTTGCAGAAATTTGCTGCAATTCACAAAACAACCGGGGTATGTGGGAGAGTTGAGGAGTCCACAAAACCTTCGCATGGCCATTACCATGTCTTCTGATTCATAGAATGGTTTGGATTGGAAGAGGCCTTTAAAAATCACCTAGTTCCAACCCCCCCCAAGGTCAGGGACATCTTCCACTGGACGAGGTTCTTAAAGCCCCATCCAACCTGGCCTTGAACACTTCCAGGGATTGGAGACCCACAGCTTCTCCGGGTAAAATGTTAAATTCAATCTGTTCTCAGATTACACTCAGGACAAGTCATTTTCTAGAATTATTTCCACCACTGTAGCCCATAGGTTGAAGTAGGTAGAATGGTAACAGACAGTTGTGATCTCCTGCAGGAAGCCTTAACTGAAGTACCTTATCTGAGGTGAACTCTCACAGACAAAAGAGATAATGGAGAGGTAAAGGACACAAATTACAAACTACTAAAAAAAAAATTTAAAAAGCTCACATAGATAAAGAAAAGATAATATGCATTTGACCCAATGCAAACACTGCTGCTTGGTTCTACAAGTGTAAAAATGTCACAATTGGAATAAAATTAATCACTTCTTAATTTGACTCCAGGAGGCTGAAGCTAAAGTTGAGTAAGTTCACTTAAAAATTAATAACAGCAGCAATAAAGTGTTTCTGCAGAAAAACCTCCAACTTCTTTTAATGCTCTCTGCAAAGAACATGTCAAACACAGAGGCCTCCTGTTTCAGTTTGTCTGCAGGTGTTGGTAAAAGAAGTACAGGATTGGAAACTCTTTCACTTCTCATCAGCCTGGACTCACCATTAGATACTCATAATTCATTGCACAGGCTGAATAATTAGCATTTATTTCCAATCAGTATTCTCAGCTCTTCAGGTTCAGGGTTGTCTTTCACAATCTCACTACTTACCTCCTCTCCCACCAGCCCTACTCGTTACAGCTGATGGCATAAATTGCTATGCTAATGCTTACTGTAAAAGCAGTAAACATGGCTTCTCTCCAGAACAGCAAGAGGGAAGATTATAAAGTCATAATTTCTGATCTTCTCATAAAAAAAACTGTCCAGGCATTCTGTGCTCCATCTGCTCTCTGGTTCTCAATCTGTGATACACCACCTCGTAGCAAGGACTCGAGCTGCGAGGGAGGTGCTGTGTCAGACGAAAACAGAAAGACATCTTACCTGTGCAGGGTAGTAAGACTGAAACCATGTTGCTAATGGTTTGGTAAACTTCTTCAAACAGACAACTGCATTTGAAGCAAAAGGATGAAAATACATGCAATTTCAGTTATTTAAAATAACTTCAGAATATTTAAGAGCTTTATTCCTTGCAAGCTTAACCTTAATTACATAAGAATATTTCATTTTTCCGATTGTATCTCCATTCAACACAATAGGTGAAGCCAGATGCTATCATATCAGCTCTCACTGTTTTATATTGCTGGCAGCTTCCAAACAGGGTGCACACCAACATTTTTGTTTTAAAAAGACTTTTTGTGACTCCGTTGCCTTGGTTAAATTCTTCATGCTTGTGTTTCAGCCAGCACAGTAAAGACATAGCTGCTGTTTGTTCCATTATACAGGCTGAAGCCTTGCAGTCTGGGCTTTTGTTTTGTAATCACCAAGACAGGGGAATGAGAGGACAAATTTCATTATAAATATTAGGAAAATACTTTAATTTGTGCTTTCAAAGCTAAATAGGCCATAAAAATAAAGACCCCTGTTAGGCCCCATTTCCTCCAGAACCTTCTAATTAATTTTCCATAATAAAAGGAAGGTTACAGATAGAGTAATTGGCAAAAACTTTACTGCTGTAAGAGAAAGTGGTCTATTATGTCCCCAGAAAACACACCTTGCATGACCCCTTCTCAAGAAAAAAAAAGAAGATATCTATGAACAACTCCCAGTGATTTCCTTTTAATTGAAGCTTTCTATCCAATACTGCCTTGCTCATTTTAGTTTTGTACTGTCAAGCTTTTGAAAACACCAAGTTTTCTAATAAGCGATACAGTAGCCAGTCAGCATTCCTCTGAGCTCTGAATTCAGTGTTTTCAGTCAGGTATTGCAGCTCACTCACAGCAACGCTCACGTTTTAGTTTGCTTTGAATTTTTTTTCCCAGATATTTAAAACTAACCTCTCACGCAAAAATAAAAAGTCTAATTATAGCTTTAAAAATCTTGAACAAAAGAACTCTGAAAACTAGATGGACTAGACATAACTAATATCTGTAACCAGTGGAAGGCATCCATCTCAGAAGTTTCCAAAAAGGCCACAAGACACTGGAAAATGGAGCTAATCATGGCTAACTGTGCTGTGTCTACTTACCATAGTTATTCTTTTGATTCTATAAAGATCAATGGAAGAAAAACACAGACTGATGAGTTTGAGAGATTCCAAGATTCATAACCAAGCCCCCAGATGACTTGGCCTGACCTCCTGAACACACCGCACAACTTGTAGCCGAGTAAACCAGATTGGGCAGGGTAGGAGGTTAATGCATCTCTTCAGCTTTCAGTGTCTTTACATCACTCTTACATTTAATCTTGCTAACAAGTTGCATTTCCATCACCCAGTTACCTGAAGAAACAAACCATCCATCATCCGATTCCCAATTACAAAATACTTTTGTTGTTGTTTTGCCATTAAAACTGACTCAGATTAGCTATGTTCAGACCCATTTTTACGATCTTTGTGTCAGCTCGGTCATCCAGTTCTACTGAAGCTACTTGCTGGAGATTCCCTCATTTTTCTAATTTATGCCCTAAGATTACATTTAGCTCCATTTTCCAAAACCAAAACTCGTCCTCAGCAACACTGATTTGAAGATTTTTTCTTTTTTTTTTTTCCTCTTTTTAAGGAACTGTGGCTGACCCTATCTTCTTTAGTCATGCTATTTCTTGAAACCAAGTATGTCTGCTAAAATATCATCTCACATTTTTAAATTCCCGTGTCAACTTCTTTCATCCATAAATTCTGCAAACCATTTTATTCTCATATTAATAAATAAAAAATCTGTTATTGCAAAATATCATTTTTCTATCTTCATCCTCAAGGTCATGAAGCTATTAGTTGGTAGTCATATAAGTATTATGAATTAATATATTGCCTTGAAAGTAGTTTTGAAAAGCTTTTCATACAGGCAATAATAGATTATGCAAGCAATCTTCAACAGAAGTTAAGAATTTATGATATTTTCCACCTGTGAGGGAACAGGTTTCAAGTAGATAATTTGAACACCGTCTTATTGGTACAGGTTTTCTCATCTTCATAACAGTGCGGGCTGGATCTACCACATTGCCAAGCTATCAAATAATTTTACTGGATTGTGTGTTGTTATAAAATATTTAAAGCAGCCAGGCTGAACTTTCAATTCATAACCAGGAAAACATCTTTAGATCTCAACCCAAAAGCCATCCATCCTCTAATTCTAGAATCTGCACTGTCTTACACAGGGGAGGTTCTGAAAGGCTTCGAGAGGCCTCCAGGACACTGGTGAGCACTCCAGTGGGTAAAGTAAAAGCCAGAACACCTAAAATCTATCCTGTGTAATGATGACTTTTAGCACTGCTACTTTAGCAGCGCCTAGAGATTCCTGTGATAGATGAGAGCCTTACGTGCTAGGCACCACACAGAAGCAACAAGGTAAATTCTCCAGAAATTTATCATCTAAACTCATTCGAATGATATTTCAGTCCAGCTACTATTGCTGAGTAAAGCGTTGAATGTAAACAGGGCTTTCCACTTCTGACAGAGAAACATGCAGTCTCTGCACGCTACAGCCTGGCAGCAGCCCTAAAAGAAAAACAGTAATTTCCCAGAAAACACAGCCAGATGATACTCATAACTGTCAAAGAGACAGGAAGAGCCTGAGATTCAGTTCCACAGGCCAAACTCGGAAAAGGAAATCAGATAGAAGATGTATACAGATAATAAACTGGTCTCCTTTCTGCGGAAGATCAGACTAAAGGCATATTCTACTCACAGCACAACGTTCTGCAGAGACAAACAAACTAGTTTAGATATTACAAGCAGTGTCTCCTCAAAACAGCACAACTGAGGAAAATGAAAACAAACCCAAAGCAGGCTAAAATGACTCTCTTCTCCTAGAGGACTCTGCTCTCCCTGCACGTTTCAGTCAAGCACCATATACCCAAATCTCTGATGTCTCCACGCTGTTTTACATTTAATGAGACACAAGTAGCAGCAAATACATCCATGGGCCACCTGCAGCATTCAGAGCCAGTGTCACCAGCAAGGATTTGGTTTCCTAAATCACAGCATCTTGTCTGATGAGAGGAACCACTGCTGGGGAGAGGTAGAACCCACCTGATCTGGACCAGGAAGAACATCTTTGCAAAACAGGCTAAATCCAGTGAGGAAGCTTTAAACTGTTTTGGGGATTTTTTAGGAAATAGAGACCAAGGCCCTGAGGCAAGAGAGAAAAACCTTTTACTGCTGTGGGAAGGGGTGTCCTACAGACTTCCTGATCAAGGAACCTGGACGTCTGCTGAGAGGACAGCACAGCACTAGACTGGCAATGCAAGTTATGGCACTGCATTGGTGACCATTCCCTAACACAGACACTGAAGGGGCTCACCAGCAGTAACACTGCTGCTGCTCACAAACAGGCATGAACTGGCTGGTGGTCCTTGTCCAGTGGCCTGGGCTGCAGTGACCTCAAGATGACTGAGCTGAGGACATGGAGAAAAGCTGGAAAGGTAATCAGCAGAGTGAGGAGGGATTTTGCAAGTGCAGATTTACGTTTATTAAAGAGAAGAGCAGGGTAAAATCCCAGGGGAACAGGCATAAGGTCAAAGCGTTCCCAGGAGAGCTTCTTGATGTTTGAGAATTCAGGCAGGAAGAAGGCCCTATGTAAAGACTAGCAGTTTCGGCAGGAGGCCCACTTGGCTTAGGAAGAAACTTTTTGATGAGCTAAAATTTAGAAAGAAAAAGGGAGATGAAAACCAGGACAGGCAAAAAAAGACAGAGTACAAAAAACTGTTCAGAAACTTGGGGACAAAATCAGAGAGTCCAGAAGTCACCTGAAGACAGGCCTAGGGAGGGACATTTTTGGGAATGTAGGGAAGCCAAGGGCATGACAGCTGTAAAAGGAAGTTCAGAAAATGTGTGGGTGACAGACAGGGGAGAGAACTCAGTGACAGACGGCAAGAGAAAGACTCAATGTCTTTTTTGTCTCGATCTTTACACAAAAAGCTTCTGCACATACCAGCATGCTTCATGTGAGAGGCTGGACTGTGTAATGTGAATATCCCTTCAAACTACCCTTCCTGAGACTAAACCAGAAAGTCAAATAACCAAAGATACTGCAGAACTGAATTACAATAAAGGATTTATCTTGTAATCCCAGTGTACTCCCTGTCTGTCTTATACTGACTCTCCATACTTGAAGTTAGACATACCCTTTAAAGAAATATTCTTGGGTTATTTGAAATATGCAATTTACTTGCTCAATTACAGCTGTGTATCAGTGTAAGCAAGTCATTTTGAAACAGTTTTGAGTTTGTTATTATCTGTAAATTACAACCAGAGATATCCAGACTGTCTCATCAATCACAGCAAGACTGAAGAAAGATGTTTCCAGTAGACTTTAACTGCTCATAAGCTCTAATAATTTTATCCTGTTGAATTGCCTAGTGCCCTGTGTTGGTGCTGTAAAGGGAAATCAAGCAAGCTAGAGCCAAGCCAGAAAGATCTGGGGAAATGAGGTGGAAAGCACTGTTCCTTTAATCTGTTGAGGTCATCTTCCACCCTCCCCATCAAAGCATCTGAAACATCTCTTTATAGTGTCTTTTCTAGATCCTTTGTCACATCAGGTGATATTTGCTCTCTTACTCTCTCCCCTGGTTTCAAGAGAAACTGTTTTCAAGACTTATGCAGCTATCTGCAACTGCAAAATGTAGGTATTCTTTATGTAAGGAAAAACAAGCAAAAACTTTTTAAGAATAAAAGGTGCTTTTATTGTGTTTAGATGGGAAAATAATAATTCTGCCTTTTTTCTTTTTTAAGTGAGAAATCATAAAATAATGTCATGCTACATGAAAACATGAGATTACCTGAAATTATCTTAACTTCCCATGGTTGCCAAGATATCACATGTATAAGAATTTATCTACAATATACTTACTTGTCTCTGTTCTTACCTAAACTGAACTCTGGAAGAGGCCTCATCCCTTCCCCCAAAATAGTCCTGCAACAGTTGTTTCACACATCTTGAACAGAATGGTGAGCACCACAGCTGACAACACTGTTCCTTTAGCTTGACAGTTACTTTCTAAAATTACCCTTTCATATTTAGTTACTTAATCTTCCTACAGTCCAATTATGAAGGCATTTCTTATTGAGCACAGTATTAACTTATAAATATTCATGAAATCATAAGCCTTGTCTATTGAGCATGGTATTGACCTGCTATTCTCCTGATTATTATTTAAATCTATATAAAGAAAATTTAAACTCCCAACTAAACAGTCAAAATCCTGCAAAAACTCCTATATTACTTCTATAAATTGGAGAACATAGGAGCAAGAAAATAAGTAATACTGGATTATATTAGGAAAAATTTCTTCACTGAAAGGGTTATCAAGGACTGGAAAAGTCTGCCCAGGGAAGTGGTTGAGTCACCATCCCTGGAGGAATTTGAAAGACATGTAGATGTGGTGCTTTGGGACATGCTTTAATGGTGGACTTGCAAGCGTAAATGGTTAGACTCCATGATCTAAGGGGTCTTTTCTAACCTAAATGATTACATAATATTCTTCTTTTTACCTTCAAAGCAAGATACATATCTGCTATAGCTCAGAATTAAATTCTACAAAGAAGAAACTATTTTGGAGATGAAACTTTCCATTTGGATTTAGAGTTTGATTTTATATTTTCCACTACTTTGTATTTTTCTAAGTTACTAAGCTGGATAAAGTTTTTAACACTGTTATATAGTTATTGCTATATTTTCAGTTTTCTAAAGAAACATTTGTTTTTAAAATCTCACAGTGGACTAAATTAATAAAAGCAAACAAACACACATTATGATTTCTGTGAGGAAATAAAACACAGACAATAGTGAAAACATCTGCTTCCAAAAAGTCAAACTAACTCGATATTCCAAATAAAGATGAGATTTCTGATTTTATGAACATCATACAAACTCTGAGGCAGCTGTGAATAGCAGTCCTACAGAAACCTACATCCAAATCTGGTTAAAAATGGACCTTTTTCCCCTCAAAGCAAAACAAAAAGGAATCAACCTTCTAACCTCTGACCCACAAACCAAGTCTTCATTGAAAACCTTGTGCTAGTGAACCTCTGTGAACCTTAGCATTCATCAGGCTGACAGATTCTTTAGGTCCCAGGTTCCACTGGACTTTACCGTGGAACACTACAAACACAGTGGTACAGTAAACACTGTAAACTGCCAAGGCATACTGTGGAATAATGAAAATCACTTCCTACAACCACATCAAAAGAACAGTAATTTCTGATGGTTTAGTACTAAGAGATACCATTTTTAATGGTTTTGTTATGTTTTTGAACTTTGGTGCCAAAAAGACAGTGATAGATCTTTCGAGTGCTTTAAAAAAAAAATTAAAATCTCATTACACTTTAATTCCCACTGAAATCAAAGAAATGCAAAACCCACCAGAAATATAGCTTGTAAGAATGCAACCATGGTTGCAGCAAAATACAGTTCTGACCAAAGCATAGCAATAAATCGGAGGCAAAATGAGAATACAGGAGTCTCGTCCTGTTATCCTAATCCTGCTGCGCAGTACGGCCACATAGCTTTAGAGCACCTAAGTAACAGCTACAAGGTCCGATCCATATGACAGAGGCAAGAGCTGATGCAGAAACCTTCTTACATGGTACCTCAGTTTAGAGTCCCTAGGTGGAACAAGGCCTCCTAAACTCAAAGATCTAATCAGGGACCAGTTCAGACACAGGGAGAAACTGTGGCATATTTTCAACAAGCTTCATTTTTCTCATCCATTGAACTATCCTTCACATGTTTTGATGTTTATAAGCCATGAGGCTCTCAGTACAGCAGCTCAATCAAACAAGGCTCAATCAAACAAAGTGGGCAGCCAAGAAGCAGCCAAGGGCTCCACGGTCACTGAAGGGCACAGAAACTGTCTACACTCCAAAGCACTGAAGCACAGCTACACAGCTATGCAAAAAACAGATTTTCTTCCCACAACTAACTAGAAAAAATCTAGGACTTCCAGCAACAGGCATGTCTGTCCTTAGTAACTACTTCACAGGGAGCCAGGATATGAGGGGACATTGTTGTGTGTACAGTATGAGACAGAACAGCAAAGGGAAGATCACACTCCGATCACTGCCTCATCCACAGTGCAGCTGATAATGGCAGCTTCCCCCAGCCCAGTGAAACAGGCGGAACACAGTGTTTGCAGCCAACAAAGCTGATTTCATGGTGCTACACTGCAAGTCCCAGACAGAATCTTATCAGCAGTGAAGTTCTTCGGGGGCTACAGACTCACAAGCACAACATAGAAGTATCTTCTACAGATATTCAGAGTGTAGTACCAACCCTCCGAAATCAACTACAGCTCCTCCCTTTGCTGATAAGGTGATATGTAATTGGGCATGAAGTTATTTAGGGCATCACTCATCAACAAATTGCTCGTGCTACCTGTTTGATTACCAGAAGCCACAGTAAATTTTAGGGCCTTCTCTCTCTTTCCTAGTTCTAAATCCTCATCTTTCAAAGCAATATTTCATTTTGATTACCTAAAGAGTTCCTACAGAATGATTACTGATTACATTTAAATGACATATACAATCGAACAGAGGAGTACCCAATAAACACATTAAAAAGAACATTTGTACTTCAGTAACATATTTGCTAGCAAATAAGATTTTATTTATAGCTACCAGCCTTTCTTTGACTATTAACAGAACTATAACTCTAATGCCATCAGCTGCCAAACTGAAACAGAAATCTCTCTAGTGTCCTTATATGTCAGGCCACTTCATCTCTGGGATAATGGATTTTTTCTCTCCTTTGACTTAAGAAAAAATTTTTACTTTCTAAACGTGTTCTTTTCTGTTCCAACACATTGAAGCATTTTATCTCTACCATGAAGAGTTGCTGATAGTTCCTTTAAAACCTTTAATGTACTACCAAAAAAAGCAGTATCTGTGAGAGGACACGGCTCGAAAGTGAGTTTTCATATGTAATTTACAACAAATTTCACTTGTGATAAATGAAATATCAAACAAAAAATAACAGCAATATTTTCATTAAATTTTAATTAAATCATCTGAATAAAACAGTAAGTACTTACCATATGTGGTATATATGATTATTTCATTTTCTTCATAAATAGCCATTAGTAGGGTCTCCATCTAAACTTTGAAACAAAAAAAAGCCTAGCCAGAACACCAAAACCTTTATGTGAAAGAAATTATCAACACAACTATTTTCTAATGCAAAGCAAGTGCTCTACTATATAAACTTATCCATGACTTGTGGAGAATAACTTAATATCTATATAATATCTAATATCTATGAGGTCAATTCTTTAACAACTAGAGATTCACCCCAGTGAACAAAGGTCTTGAGAATTCAGTGAAGCCATACCCTTGGACTGGAGATCTTCACATAAGCCACAGTTTAACATTTTTATTTAATACTTGTTCTGAGAGAGTAACTTACAGCTTCTACTTGACAACTTAACTAGGCTAGGCATTGCAAAAACATTGTAAGACATAAGCTCTCTCCAAAGGGATCATGGTACAAGTTAATTTTAAACTAGTTAACAGCTAGTTTCTGACATAAAATTAGGGCTTCAAAAAAAGCAAAGAGGCTTGATGTATTTTATCAGTACACTTATTAGAAGTCTAAATCCTGCACTATATTTAAATAGACAGCATTTGAATACTTAGCTAAATGGAAAGCACTCAAATTATGAGCTACAGCTGTAAAAATAACAGCTGCTCTGCTTATTCTTCCTTGAGGATCTGGTTAGATTAACACATATGTAACACATGATTTATTCATTGGTTTCTGAGTAGAAACGTAAAGTAGCTAGACTGAACTATAAAAAACAGGTTAGTATAATTTCTCCTTTTAACACAGTTAAGAAAGAGCAATACGAATCCTGTCAGATTGTACAAGGCTTTTTTTTCTTGTTTTAGAACAGCTAATTTAAGCACATGATTCAGTTATCTCAGCACTGATGGATTAGGCTGGGAAAATACAGTCAATGCTACTTTAGGAACATCTTGATTCTCAGATTCTAAAATGCAAATACAGAACTGTAAGCTCTAAGTACAAACCACCAAACAGTTACAGAAACACAACAGGAAGCTTTGGGCTTCTCTAAACACACATTCTTTAAGCTGTTAATTTTGAAAAAAATCATTTAGGAGTCTGATGATTAATACCTAATGCCTTGAAGTGCTTAGTATGAGGAAAACAGCACAGCTCTCTCCTAATGCCCGATTGGCCCACTATGGGCAAGTCTAAAATCATCATGTGGCTTTAATATCCGCTAGACTAGTAAGACTTTGATAAATCCTGACAGATGTTGCATTCGTGTGGTATTTCTCAGATTTTTATACTAATACATGGAATTGGAACCAGAGGTGATAGGTTTCTGCAGTAGAGATGAGACTGGTAAAGGCTTTTTCCATGAAATAAGAACCCCCCCCCATACCTTAGTAAGTTGCTCTAAGGCAAGTGCAAAGGGCTTCAGTGCACAGTAATTAAATCTCTCATTTAATGTCTGAAGTTCATTTATAAGAGAAAAAATAAACAAATCAGGACTAACATGCTGTGGGCAAAAGCCTGGAAAAAAAAGGAGTTTTATGACCTTCCTAGCAAAGACATGATGATTGCAGCTGATAATCAGAGATACCTGGCAGAGGCACCAGGGTTGTTTGGCCTTTTCTTGGAAAATGATGATTTGCAGCTCCATAATTTATTCATCAAGATCAGACATAATTTCCAAATAAACATGTACGATCTACAACCTAGGTTATTTTACAAATTGGCCTCAAACATATTCAAAAATCACATGAAATTTTCCCCACAGTCTTCAACATGCGTTCCAAACTTCAACTCAATCCCTGTGGAACTAAAAACCATTTTTTTAGGTTTTACTAGAACAACATTTAAAATAAACTTCACGATCACAACACAGTTGTTTGAGTTTCATATTTAACTTTTTAAGCACATAAGAAAAGAGCAATGGGACGAAGAAGAGTAGGCAATCATAATCCAGCCAGGCTGTGTCCACAAAGATGTGGTGTGCAATAAGTAGAAACAGAGTGTGGCATATGGGGACTGTCCAGCACTAGTTACACACTATATCAGTTGGCACTACAGCAGAAGAAATTTTTAAGAAGGGATTTCAAAATGCCATGGTATCCTTAATTTACGAAGCACAGAACTGGATTTTTCCTTTTATGGATGAAAACTGCTCATTCAAATAAAGGCCACTGAATGTGAGCAACAGGTGTTATATCAGGCTCAGTTAACCATACAGGATGTGCAATTACACTGAACAGACGTATACAGAATATAAAGAAAGGATAAAAGTCAAGTGAAATATCATAAAGCATCTTAATACACTAAAATGATGTCTATAAATCTAGGCATTTGAAAGTAAATGCGCCAAATCTTTTCCATTTTTACTCAAGCAAATTCCCAATAAAGCCAACAACAGTTTGCTCATTAGGGTACTTAAAACTTGCAGGAGGACTACTGTTCCCCACAGAGGCCTCCTCAGAAAATTAAGATCCCTATTTCCTACTGAAAGTAGAATGAAAAAAGGCGTTTAGGGCCTAAAAGCTGTCTTCATAGAAAAATAATTATTCCCTAGCTCTGTTGAAAATTGCTCATCTAATGCTGCAATCACTGTGAGGAAATCCACAGCTTGTGTTACGAAACAGGCCAGACTAAATTGTTAAAGTCACCTCCGTTTTCTGATCATCAGTGTCTCTGAATGCTTAGTGCTGTGACATCAAAGCAACAAGAGACAACTTTTGACAACAAAAGCTTTCATACGTGACATCACAAAACAGAAAGAATAAATATTTCAAATATTAAGTGTTTTTAATCATCTTAATAGCATCTCAGTATTAGAGATCAAATAGATCAAAGGCACATCAACTTCCATGAAAATAGTCCAGCTATAGTTTATAATTTATCGAAGGTCACTCACTGCACACACCCTAAAAATGTCAGCAACACTTTATACAGAAGAACCAGAGTACTGCCTAACCGCATACTTTCTCTGGCACAGAATGGCAACAACTGTGTGGATTTGGGTTTTTTTTTATTTTCCTGAAAGTTATTCAATGCCTCCCTTCAAGAGAGAGTTACTATCAATTTCACGCTGTTTTTTTAAACTTGTCTAAAAAAACATTAACTTCCAAGTAGTGACAATGTGCAATTACACTCAGTACAATGTTTCCAACTCTTTAATTTTATACCCATCTCCCCTAGGTACTGAAGTGTATATACGAAATCTAAATTACACACAAACAAAACTGTAACATCTGCATCTATGCTTCTCATACTCTACATTTGATCTACAATTACAACATATTTTCTAAATTTTACCCATGAATATCCCTATGGAAAAACTGCAATCAATGCAGTAAAATACTGCATGTCTAGTCAAGCAACAAATGACAGAACTAAGAGGAAAAAACTCCCAGACTGTACAATTAAATATATATTCTGTGACATGTTTATCCACAGAAGATTACTATACTATATAAAAGGACTGGAAAAGAGCAACAAAAAACATTTTACAAATTAATCTAAGGCTTGGATAATGCTTACAGAGAGAATTATAATTATTGCTATAAAGACTGCTAGCCCTGAGAGAGAAACTATTTTGCTTTTTATATGTCAACAAATGTACAGAACCACAAAGGGCTGGGGTTTTTGTTGACATCTTCATCTGCCTGATCTCTGATGATTCTGTCAGACATTTCAGCACCAAGGCAAGGCACAGTGAGCACAACAAATAAGCAGACCTAAAGGACTCTTCAGGATAGACATGGCTCAAGTTTTCCCTAAGGAACAAAGAGTTCACATTCTTCTTCTTCTTACCAGCAAAAAAGGCAAACACTTCCTTTTATCCTGTGTAAAACCAAGAATGCCACTTGAAGGTGAATGCCATTTCTTTAAACAAACAAAACATAGTACAGGTGCAGAAGTGCAGAGTATATATAGAAAAAGTTGTAAGATTTTGTTATTTCAAAATAACAAAGGGTTGTATTATTTCTGTTTAAAACCAGTTATTTTTTTAAACCTATTAAAGGTTGCTCCTGATATTTAAAATACTATAATAGTGAAAGCAGACAATTGCCCTTGAAATCCAGTGCACTCAGAAATGTTTGGAGACTTAAGCCCCGAGTCTTTGCATAAAATCTAGTCTGTATATTTACACAGTATCGTGCTGAGAGAAAAATTTTAAATAATGTCAGAATAGTGCTCATTAAAGTTACAATTATACTAGACTTCTCTGCACATGATTCCATCAGGAATTTGAATCATACTGAGCCGCTGGAGGTGACTGGGGTGGTGGAAAAGCACAGCTGCTTTTCACCCCTGAAGGTCTATGTGCACAAAGCCCATCTCAACTGGGAACAGCCATCATTGTTTGACAAGAACTAAACTCTGTCTCTAACGGGATCCAAAGACTGACAGGATTTCACAGAGCTGGATGAATTTTCAATGTGTGCTACCTGCACTCATTATACATGTTTCTAATCACCCTATCTTCACGCAAAAAATCATGAATTCAAGAAAAGTTTAAATATTTTTATATCCAGTGGAAATGTATAATAATTGCAGCCTTAGGTCAGCAGTTTCCATCTTCTGTACATATCACAAGACCTGTGATAGCCTGTACCATTGAAATGGTACTTCCACAGCTCTTCAAATAAAGAAAAGAAACCATGTTGACTGTTGAGCAGAATGAAGCAATCCAGAAAATGTAACATCCTCTACATGCCAACATGGAAAAAAGAAGGAGCTACAGGCACAGTTCTAACCATCATAAAGAATGAAGAAGATTGAGAAAGAAAAGAAAAATAAAGCCTAAGATTCTAAACAAATATTTACACAATTCAGAAAAAAAATGCCCTGAGGAATACAAAAACTAAACAGCACATATGAACAAAATCCAAATGCAGTATCAAAAGATATGTATAGAAGGTCAAACTCTTTGCTGCTCAAGACTTTGTAAAAATGTCATTTTAATTATCTGTGTATATCTACAGCACTGGGATAATAACCAGTTTAAATCCTGTACATCTGTTGCTGTACTTTCCCAGTATTTCAAGGACACACATCTTAAACTTTACCC